CTACTGCTACTACTACGACGACGGCAATCACAACGGCTATATGCGGCTACGGCACACCACGACTACGGTAGCACAACCACTGAAGAGCATCAGCAACACCGCTGCAACCACAGGAAACTTGCGTTGCCGCGACTGAAAGACTCTCGAGATGCCTCCCAGAGCATCGCGCACCCAATGGCTCATGACGACTTGTAGCTGTTCTGCGAGCTGCTGACTTGCTAAGAGACCGCAGTCAGAAACTTTGTGGCGTTTGAAGAAATGCCCAGAAAGATCGCGGAAGAAAGGTTTCCTGTCATACCCAAGTTTCCATGAACCCGAAACACGAAGCATCAGGTGTCAGAAGCCCAAGCTGTCGCACTGACAGAAGAGCTCCATCTCTGTTTGAAACGTCACTCTCCCGAGGTGCTTGACTAACTGCGCTGTAACCCCGAACACCGATCGAACCCTGAACGCAACCCGGCTTACCTGATATTTTCAGTGTGACTTGCCTGGATTCGTCCGTCCCATTCTCAAGACCCTGAACCTCAATTCCTTCACTGGTCCTAGTGGCGCCGAAACCCCGTAGACTCCGTAGAAGTGAGCTAGACATGGCAGATCTCCTTTGTTAGGTCTGGTCATTCGATGTTGCTCTGAGCCCACAATCTTAGGCTTCCGGCTTCATGCTTCATTGATTGCACTCAACATATTGGGGAACGTGTATTCCCAACATATTCCAGCTTCATTGCTTGATGCATACAGTTCGGTCCTCTTTACGATGTTGTATGTTGAGTCGTCTGACTGCTCCAGAAGATCGGAAGCAACAAGAGGCTTTCACTAGACTTCTGTGTCCGAGCAGCTTGTTGCCGGAATCTTGGGAAGTACCCTCGCAGTTTGCAGACCCCTTCTTGAGGCGAGGCTTTCGGGCTCTTCTGTTGCTGTTGCCGTGGCCACGTTGCGCAAGCCAAGACATGAAGAGACACGTAGGCACCCACCAGCCCCACCTCTTTTTGCTGCGACAAGCAACACAAGAAAGCAGTCCATTGACCCTATGCTACCCACATCCACAACATCAGCCTCTCAGCCCTTTCAGCCCTAGTCATAGTCCAACCCTAACCCCCTAGAAGATGCCTCAAGCGAGGCAGTGCCCAAACCTCTAAAACCCCTGTTACCAGAGTTGAGTTCAGAGCCCATATGGGGGTTTCCGAAAATAGGGGACCCTAATATAGTACCCAAAATAGTAGGATCCTTATTATAAGGGACCCTCAAAATAAGGTACCTCTAATTGTCCTCTACAACTGAACCTTATAAGCCTTATAAGGGACCCTCAAAATTAAGGTACCCCCTAATTTTCGGAAAATCCCCTACAACTGAACCTTATAAGCCTTATAAGGGACCCTCAATATAAGGTACCCCCCTTCTTTTCGGAAAGTCCCATATTCGGACCTAAAAAGGATCCTACTATTTAGGGTACTATATTAGGGTCCCCTTCTTTTCGGAAAGTCCCGTATGTGCACCCATGGCCGGGGAGCTCGCCGGGCTCGGGGAAGCGGATGGAGTCGGCAGCGGGGTCGTCGAGGTTGCTTTGCCAAGAGCCACATTTGAGACCCATGGTAATCCGGGTATTATATATTACATATTCTATATTATATATTACATTATATTGTATTGCACTATATATATATATATTATATTATGTATATTAATCCGGCTTTGTGTCCAAAGGAGGCTCTCAGGCTCCAAGCATGAAGTTCATAAACTGCTGACCTGCACCACGCACTGGGCCAGCGTAGTGCCGCAGGGGTCACACCGAGGCAGGTAACCTAGAAGCTACAGCTACAGTACAGAGTTCAGATGACATCTTAGCCAAGGAAGTGGCGCTGGGGGAGGAAGCCGCGAAAGGCGCTGTCTTGCCGAGCGATGCACATCCCCAGGTCCAAGCTATCGGCCTCGAGAGCCTGGAGTACTTGGCATCTTCACCCAGAACGGACCTAGAAGGCGGAGAGACCCCAGTTAGCCTTGGAATGCCCTTTTCTGCAAGGGTCCGTGTGGAAGATCCGGAAGCTCTGGAAGCAAGCCCTTCCACGGAGAGGGCCGAAGCTGCGGAGGAGAAGGCCTTGCCACAAACGACTGAAAGCATTCCTCTGCCCTCGCCATCCTCGCCTCGACTGGAGGAGTCTGAATCTTCAGGTCTTCAAGCCAATGAAGTGGCTCCTTTGGATTGGGAACTGGTCCAAGCTGAGGCTAGTCCTGCGAAATCGGCTGGGAGCCGTCCTGAATCGCTTGAAGGGCCTCTGCCCTCTGATACTACTCTTGTGCCAGCGGGGCAAGCTGCGTCTTGACGAGAAATAATCTGTTATTGTCGTTCTACCCCAAATCTCAGTCTAAGGTACTTGTAGGTTACTTGACCCTGCTTGCAACTTCTCAGGTCTATTTGTCTAGCGTATCGGTCTCCCTCTCGCCGTTTTCTCTCTCTGTCTCTCTGTCTCTCTGTCTCTCTGTCTCTCTGTCTCTCTCTCTCTCTCTCTCTCTCTCTCTCTCTCTCTATGTATATATATATACATACACATGTGCACGTATGTATGCATATTCACATATGTATGTATATCATGTGTGCGTATATGTTTATGTACAAATATAAATATAAATATAAACAAACAAATAAATAAATAAATATATATATATATATATAGAGAGAGAGAGAGAGAGAGGGAGAGAGCGGCATCAATGCGTGTATACATGTCTCCGCTGTGATCTCAGGCTCCGGCAGAGGCCGAGAGCCAAGGGGACCCAGCTGAAGCCACTGAAGCCTTGGCTTCCGAGGAGCTCGGGTGGGGCGGTTGGGGGGGGGGGGGGGGGGGGAGTGGTGTGGGGTGTAGGGGTTCCGTTGCCCGAGTTTCTTTAAATGTTTTTTCGAATTTCTGCAGACATGAGCGTCACTCGCAATTTCGTGTGGGCATGTCGGGCTTGGACGGGCCTCCTCGCAGGTCAAGCTCACTGTTTTTCCGTGTGGTCCATCTCCTCCCGACTTCTTCGAAATTGTTTGAATCGCTTAGGAGAATCCTGTAACTCCTAGCTCCCCTTTAGAACCATATGATACAATTCAATACAACGGTGCAAAAAAATAAAGCCCTATAAAAAAGCCCCTTGCAAAGCCTATCCCTTGGGCTCCAGTTACCTAAATAGTAGGTAACTGGGGGTACATAATATATGGTCAGTAACCCACTATTCAGGTAACTGGAGCCCTTGCAAAGCCTAAACCCTAAACCCCTAAACCCAATGCGGGCTCGTCCTAGCTAGGTGGGAGGCAAAAAAAACCCCTAAACCCTAAACCCCTATGTGTGCTTGTTTTTGGATGTCGCGGAAGCCGAGGAGGGCGGCGACCCTGGGTCCGAAGATCCGGAAGGAGGTCACCGACTTAGGGCCATTTTGGGGTTTTTTGGGTTTTGGGGGTTTGGGGGTTAGGGGTTTTGGGGTTTAGGGCTCTAGGGTTCTAGGGTTCTAGGGTTTAGGGTTTAAGGGTTCTAGGGTTCTAGGGTTTAGGGTTTCAGGGTTTGAAGTTTATGGCATTGTTGGGTTTAGGGGGAAAGCTTTGGGAGGTATATGTAGGCTATAGGGTTAGGGTTTCTGGTCAACCTGACTTTACCCCATGTCCCGAAGATTCCCGTGGATTTTCAGTCTCTGTTGCTTCCTTACTAATAAATATAGAAGCCTAAACAATTATAATTATACCAATATTATTCCGTATTCCGTATCAAAGTTATACCATAAACAGGAGCCCAGAACCCTATTCTAATTTCGAAGGGCCCCTACATAATTCTATGGTTATACCATAAAAAACAGCCCAGAACCCTATTCGAATTACCAAGGGCCCCTACATAATTCAGAGGACTGGGGGCTTCTGGGGTGTTTGCGTTTCAGGGGAGCAGATGCTAGCAGGGGTTGAACCCTTTGGGGGGCTTAGGGCTGAGGGGTTCTGGGGGTTTAGGGGTTAGGGTTTAGGGTTTAGGGGTTTAGGGTAATCTAAGCAGGCGTGAAGAACGAGAAGCCCATCTGCTTGCCGAAATCTTGAAAGGGGGGGCCAGTTACTTGAGTAGCAGGTTACTAGCCAATATCATGTGTAACCCAGCAGACCATAAACCCTATAAGCCATAAGCCCTAAATCGATTCCCCTAACCCTAAACCCAAAACCCTATAAGCCATAAGGGAAAAAAATCGATTCAGTTAACTCGAGCCCTTTAGGGCTTGTCATACCCAACGCATGGCCGCGTCAGGCGTTGAAATCGCGGCTTCGGTTCCGGAGCCCGAGCCGAAAGACGAGGCAGGATCTGCAGTCCCTACTGTGGCTCAAATATTAATAATACTATCGTATATATATATACATATATACACATATATATATACATATATATATTTATTATTATTATTATTATTATTTTTATTAGTATTATTATTATTATTAGCATGTAATATAGCATATATTATACGATCCATTGGAAAAATCGTTGCGGCTTGGAATTGAACTTGAATCGTGCGTCCTGAACATGGTTATGCCGCCAAACTAGCATGCCCGATCGTTGCAGATGGAACGTGGGAAGCGTGGACAACGCTCCCCTCATGACGGGTCTCTTTCTGAAACTACCCTAACCCCCCAGGTACCTACTATATAGGGTACTAGAGCCCCTAGGGCCCTATATAGTAGGTACCTAGGGGGTTAGGGCTACTTTGGAAAACTTTCCGTATCATCCCTGAAGGCGGCAATCCGGCAAGTCAAGCATTCTAGCCTTCACATGTCCGCCACACTTGCTACCTCCTGCCCTGCCACCAGAAAACAAGGCACACACAGCGAGTCTTTCAAGCTTGCACGCATGAGTTCAAGCTTGCCGGCTGTAGCTTTACATGGTCCCTTACTTCACGTCCGGACACCCATGTTCATGCGACACATGCACTTCCTGCTCGACGTAGACAGGCGCACATACGTACTTTATTCATGCAGGTTCATACAGACTGACGGAACTTACAAATGCAAAAGCACAGGCCTATTACGCATGCCATCACGTACCTGTACCTGCCTGCATCTTTCGATAAGTGTATATATTTAGGTCTGCATACAGAGGCCACTCACAGGCTTTTACGTGTCCAGTCTCATCAGGAATCTATTTGCTGCCCGTCTATGTCTAGTCATATGACCACAGTAAGGCCGAATGCAAAAATGCCTTGACCCCTAGAATCCTATGCCAAGCAGCTGTAACATCGTAACACTATGGACGACTGTCAAGAGAGAGCCCGACGCAAACCTTGATAAGACGACTGCCAAGAGAGAGCCCGACGTGAACCTTGATAAGGTTTCTGTAAACCCGCCATAAACGATTGAAACCCTGCAAACTCCATAAAACCCTTTGCAAGATCGTAAACCTCGCTTTCATAATTTACTCGGCATAGGCAAACCGTATCCTCCACCTTTAGCGGGCATGGGCAAAACTGGCCGCCGTATTCTCCACCGTTGGTGGGCACGGGCGAAAATGGCACCGATCCTGCACCGTTAGTGGACATAATAATACGCAAACTGGCCCAATGGCAGAAACGGCACCGTATCCTGAATGGTTCTGGCCCTAGAGCTCAGGCTTATAGAGGGTCTGGGGGATAGGCAAAACCGGGCTGAGGAATCAGGATTTAGGACTCCGCGTTCAGATGACAGGGTTCGGTGTTTTGGATTGCTTCTGTGCTAAGTGAAATGAATAGCCCGGATGTCGTAGCGATGTGGGGACTCTTTGGGCGGCCGGGTATTTGTCTGTTCTATCGCCAGGCTAATCGTAAACTTAAACCTAAACCCCTAAATCCTTATAGAACCCTAAACCCTACAATCAAAGCAGGTAGAAAGATCCAAAGCAGAGTGCAGGCTTCCACCCCGGAGGTGTCTGAGGCCAAGCGCCGCTTCGAGGAGGTGGGAACGTGGGCTTGATTGATTGGTTGAGACTGTAGAATGATTTATTTCTTTATTTATGTATTACATATGTGTTTAGGGATGTGCTGCGAGGGATTTGACCGGGCGGGCTCGAATCAAGCCTGTGGTAAAAAGGGATTTGGGGGATCTTTGGGATTGAGGGTTTCAACATGTTGGAGTGTGCAGAGTCGACGTTGCATTGAGTTTCAAGGCGAATTCGTCCTGGGTTTCATCATAGTCAAACGGGGAACATGCATACATATAGTATGATACATACATACATATATATATATATGTTTATATATGCATGCATGCATACACACACATACACACGGGTGCAATGTTTGCTGGTTTACATGGTTTGGGCGAAAACGAATGTAATTATGCCCATAGGCGGGAGTGGGCTGGCTTGTTATTACTTAGTGTGACTACGATTAGAAGTACTACCACTTATTGCTATATGTCTCATGCTTCCCCCTGTAATTGTTGTCTGCCCGGTATGCCCAATGGTGTTGCTCATATGATGTGGTCAGCACATCATGCGGTCTTTGGACCCTGTCATTTGCATGTTCAGCGGCAGCTGTCCGTTTCGGATGCCCGAATAGTATGTCTGGCCTGGAAGCGTTTTGATGGGGGGGGGAACGGGGAAGGTTCTGTGTCCGGGCGACACAGGCAGGGTAAGGGTTGTGGTTCAGAGGCTTGGCATCGAAGTGTTTGTAAATGGAAGTGCTACAGGCGTGCAGTCGTGCAGTTCGACCGCAGCCAATGGGGCACACTGTGTCACAGCAAGATTATAAATGAGAGCAACATTTCGGCGACATTTCGACGAGGTCGCTGTATCGGAACAACGATAATCACTGATTTGTTTTGCTGCTCCGCCAAGATAGGTTTCAGATTGAGGTTTGTACCTAGTGGTTGTGGAGTGATGCATCCGATAGTAGCGAGCCAGGTGCCCATGCTGCCTCCAGATTCCTTTTTCCAGTCGGACGACTTGGAGAGATTGAAGCTGGAGGAGCTTCGCCTGAATGGTCCTGGGATGTGGGCTTTGTCAGACCAGGAAGTTCTCATATTGTAGCGTGAGCTTCTAAGCGAGTTCTATGTTTGGCTAACCGACGACATTATAGGACAATCAGACCGCTGGCTCTGTGATCATCGTCTCAATATTCTAGGGGCTGCGCCCACGGGCGGGCGGCGCAGGTAGAAGCCGTGGAGCCAGGCCACGCATCCCCCGTTCGCCGAACCCGTGAAGCGCGCCTTTTGCGGGCTTCCGCAACCCACTCAAAATATTGGCAAAACATTGCCTCGCGCTGCCGCGCTGCAGCTCATGATGTTCGCCGGCCGGCCTGGGTCGTCCACAGGGCCCCGAAACCCACGACAGCTTGGGGAATGGCTGCGTAAGACCTCCGGGCGAGGTCCCGCGCGACGCACTGGAAAAAACGAGGGTCCGATGAAGCAGGGTCGGCGGCGACACCTCGGCTAAGCCTCGAACTCACAGGACGCATGCGCTCGTGGACCGAACATCGCCTCGCGCTGCAGGGCCCGTTGCGGATTACTACATTGATACGAGGCACTGGGCGCAGGGGAAGGAGAAGGAAAAGTGGCACTGCGGCGTCGGAGGGGTCGGGCATGCATTGGGATTGAATTAGCCAACTAAATCTATATTTAAATGACTCTACAGTGACACGACGAACCAAATGATTGTCGGAGGACTACTAAAAATTACTAAATTGACAGAAGGCACTGGACGCAGTTGGGCATGCAAATAAGTAAATTACTATACTATACCAAAGTATTACATTGACAGGATGCGCTGGACGCAGGGGGCATGCAATGGGCAACTGCAGTGTGGAACACAGCTTCTGAGCGCCGCAAGGGTCGGCGGATCAGGCCAGCGTAGACTCCGAACAGTGAAACACCGAAAGACCCGAGAAGAATACTGGAGGAGCACCAGGGCCGCATCCCGCGACCACCCAACAGCACCACAGGTCACAACCCGTCTACATGCAGCTAAGCCAACCGCAACGATTTAACCCACAAACGAATCCAAGATTTCATCGGTTGAGAAGCTCTGGCAGCTCAGGCCATCGACGAAGCCCGAGCACTCTTGGCCTGGCTCGTACCAGGCCAGGCTTTGGGCTGTTTGTGAAGGTTCTCTACGGGTTTATCAACGGTTTTTCAAAGACTCACAAAAGTTCTAAAGCTTGGGTTTTGGGTTTAGTTGAAGCGTGTCTTATATTCCCCCACCATAATTTTGACATATATCTTGCTGTCTTGAGACAGGCTTGTCCTGTGCATGTTCGGTTTCTTCTGTGGTCTCGTGGGGTAGGTCTTCCACCATCCTCTGGTGCTTCGGCCGTCACGTCGTGGGCATGGGAAGGTATCGCTCTGGTAAAGTTTTTTTTTGGGGGGTGGCGGCCAAACCCAACAAACCCTGAATCTTTTCATAAGCTCTATAGACGGCCCCTAAGTCGATCTCCAACCCGAAAATCCTGTAAACCCCCAAGAAGCTCAGGCATTTCCTTCTCCATCCTCGGCCCTTGCAACACCCTAGGGCTCCAGTTACCTATAAATAGTGGGTTACTAACCATATATATATATATATTATGTACCTCCAGTACCCTACTATTTAGGTAACTGGAGCCCTAGGGAAAGCCAGTCAGAATTACTTAGCTAATACGCGTTCTAAGGGCTACGGACTGGTTGAACCAAAAACCTGAAGCACCACCTTTATAACCATAAAGCCATACTAGACCCGAAGCTTCCGGCCACCTGAACACGAACGGTCCTGTGTCGATGCGTAGAGTGGCGACTTCTGGCCCATTCCTTGGGTCCCCAAATATCTGAAGACATGAGCGAGCCTGGTAGATGGTGCGGCAATTTCTCCTGAATAATGTGTGCCGAAGCTTCCTTGAAGTTCGGTTGAGAGTGCTGCCTGCAGGAATCTTTAGGTGTTTGGGGTTTGTCCACGCAGCCGCAATCCTACGAAGCAGGAGCCCTACCGGCCCTACCGCAAAGTATTCAACGCTGCCAGGTCCAGGGGAAGCCCTGTCGCCGGATGAGCAGGAGGCACATGATGAGTGCAGGCTTCAGGGCTGAAGCGTCTCAAGCTTCCAGGAGTGATCCACGTCATGTCTGTCCTGTGTACTAGAGCCAGCTCCTTTTTGCTGTATTGGTGCACTGGTGCTTGTTGCTGCTGGTCGTATTGCTTCGACAAAAATCTTTCGAGCACGACGGCGGTGTGCTCGTCGTACCGCTAGATATTCTAAGGTATGTCTCCTATTAGCAGAACTGTTCGCAGTGACGTTCGTGATGTTCCGTGGCCATGAGTTTGATAATTTTGCATGGCTCTTTGACTGCTGACAGCCCATCATGCTGTTCTGACTGGTTCCGCTGTTACCGGCAAGAGACGCGGAAGGTGATCAGCCAGGATTGCAAGAGATCCGAAATGTGACCCCCCCAAAAAATAAGAAGAAGAATAAACCGAAATGGGTCCCTTCCGCATCGTGATATTCCCAGCATAACCTGTAAGTGCTGAACTTTTGCCTGAGATTTTCTGCTGAAGGCTAGCAGGGTCCAGCTCGAGGAAACAACTACTGGATACTTCAGTGGCTTCATGGTTTTCGTTGTTTTAAACGATTGTGTCTGGATCCCTCAAAGCCCACAAGGCAAGTTGTTAAACTCATGGTGTACTTTCGTTTTGAAAGTTTTCATGCCTTGGTGCACATGATTTTGAACTTCGCTTGCCGTGCTGCTTTCGGCTCAAGTTTTCCATTCGGGCTACGGCACTTTACCTACCTCCATCCCCTTGCACCTGCCTTGTGGGAAGTTTTGTTGGCAGTGCTTTCGACCCATTTGAAACGGCCCTTTGGTGACAGTATCACCACGGGTGGGGCTTCGTTGGACGCTTGCGTTGCAGTGGGGGGGGGATCGTTCGGTTGGTCGATCGTTTCGACTCGGCAATCTTCGAGAAAACAACATGTCCGCTTTGTGCCACCTTTGCAGAATTATATTATACCTATATATATATATATTTATTTATTTATTTATATTTATTTACTTATCTATTTATTTATGTGTGTATGTATGTATTTCGCTGGGCACATATTTCAGCCCGCCCTTGTTGCGGAATCATATGGATCATATTTTCCACGTTTAAGATCTCTTTCGAGTATGGGAAGCTTGGACGTATACGGACTGAAAAGGGCCAAGTGGTACTGTAAGTACTGTCTACATGGAGTTGCAGTTGGACAGCCTAGCTCTGAGCTTCCGGTTTCCAAGCCTGGCGTGGGGACTTCGACAATTCCGCAGCTGTGAAGTCCATGAGCCCCATAAACCCTATGAGCCCTAAACCCTATAAGCCCTATAAACCTTAAAAGCTAAGAAGCTTAACACGGCAGGAAATTCTGCGATTAGAGCAGGTCCAGGCCTCAGAGTTTACTCCCACGAGCAGAGTTGGCCGTCGGAGTCCCATGTGTGTGTGTGTGTTTCTGTGTTTGATTGTTTTGCTTGTTTGGGTTTCCGTGTTTGTTTGGTTCTTGTGTGTGCTTGTGCGTGCTTGGTGGGTTAGCTGGTTGGTTCATTGGCGGGTGTTTGTCTGTCTGACTGTCTGTTTGTCCCTGCGCCTGTCTGTTTTTTTGTCCGTCTCTCTGCTTGTTCGTTTGTTCGTTTGTTTGTTGGCGTGCAGGAGTGCGCGTGCAGCCGTGCAATGTGCATCCGGGAACTTTGGCGATTTAGAGCCCACCCTTTTCAAGTCCGTGCCGTCTCGAAGTCGCCCGCTCTACGATCGCTACAACATGGCAGCTTCTGATTCGAGTCGTGGCTATTGGTAGCCTAAAATTCCCACACCCCAAACCCTAACTGCAGGTTTGCCTTTTTTTCCGAGTGTGAGCGCCGAAACCCTGTAGGTCCAAATTTCCAATCTCGGCTTAACGTGAGCTGTCGGATTCTGCCTTTGAAGGGCTTCGTATAGGACGCATGCTGGCGAACCCATGCTCAAGGGTGTTGTTCATGTTCTTGTGTATGCCAAAAAGGCAGCCACTGCCATGTGCTCTTGACTCGGATTGATTCACACCTTAAACTGTTAACTCCACAAGCTCAGCTGAGTTTCAGCTGCGAGCGAAGCTTCATCTGCTAGCTTCGCTAAACTCTATACCGGCTGAAAGCATACCTCAAAAGATACGGACTGTCTGGCCACTCTTAACACTGACAGACGCTTCTGAAGCATCCTCATCTCCCCGCCGTGGCCTTCAACAAGCAGCACTACTCCATTGTTAGAATTGTTGTGACCCCCCAACTCTGCATGGCCCTTGACCTCAGCTGCACAAGCGGGAATGCCATGCGGGCTGATTCGAACGGCCTGCTTTGCAGCCTTGACCTGGGCAGCTCAATGCAAGCCTTCGACCAGAGTTCGCTTCAGCTGATAAGCCTTCGGGTGTGATTGCTTTTGCATAGAGACTTTCGAAACCCCGGCTCCCTTTCATCACTGACGGACTGTCTGCCGGCTTACCATGAGGTTCCCCCCTCAAGGCCACCATGCAAGCTATTTCTCCTCGGAGTTCCAGTTCTTGTGGTGTTGAGTTCCAAGTGTCCTGATTAGGGACAGCTTGTCAAGCACATGTACGCTGCGTAGGGCGTAGGGTCGTTCGACAGGGTCCCCTGTAAGGTACAGTGTTATCTCACTGAACGCGAGCTACATGTGTGTTCGGCAATGGGCATGTTCTACGAAACGGCTCCACTCGATTCCGGTTTGGATCGGTCCGTACCTGAGTGCCTGACACCACAAGAATTCAAAAGGACATTCCCGTGTTTTCTAAGCCATCAATGTGCTTACCAGTGGGTTCTAAATCTCGCTCTTGTTGTTTGGAACACTGCAAATTCCTCCATTTAAAACGCTGGCTTGAACCTGAGGTAGGTGACCTGCCACAGCTGTGTGCACAGCCAGCCCAGTCAGCTCCCTGCGTTGATGACTGCTTCCGGGCAAGATCTGTGTGGTTACGAAGGTGTGAACATTTTGAGGGTTTGCACCTTCATCGTCACAGGATTTCTTGAAAATCATTAGAAACCCTGCAAAGACTTGCTCACTGTGCACCCCCTTCCCTAGACCCTTGTAGAACTAGGCACCCAGAAGGAGTGAAGGTATGTGTTTGCAAAGCTTGATACCTGGCATGGAACTGTGGTGCACCGACAACAACAAAACCACCACCACCGCCACCCCTACCCCCACCCCCACCCCCACCCCCACCACCACCACCACCACCACCACCCCCACCCCCACCCCCACCACCACCACCAGCACCACCAGCACCACCAGCACCACCAGCAGCACCACCAGCAGCACCACCAGCAGCACCACCAGCAGCACCACCAGCAGCACCACCAGCAGCACCACCAGCACCACCACCAGCACCACCACCAGCACCACCACCAGCACCACCA